GTGTCACGTGAACATCTCAAGGAGAAAACTCTTCATGACCTCTTCAGCTTGAGACGACACGCGAACCTTAGCAAACTAAAAGCAGCTCTCGGCTGTAAAATATTTGATACTATGCCTTAAAAATGGGCAATTATACCATTTTTTAGATGTTCGAAAATCCTAGGAGAGGAAGGCAAGCAAGAAATTTTACAGCTGCGTACAGTTTTTGATATGCAATTTTCTACTTGTATAGTAAACAAACCATGAACGTATTCCTTCTTAGTAGCCTCGCATGAATATGTGTTGATTTTTCCTGTAAAACAGCTTTCATAAGTTATCATGTAATGAATGCAAAAACTCGTGTTTTGAAGTGCCGCTGTTTGTTTTTTGACTGAACTGAGTTTTGAGAAAGTTTGGCACTATTAAATCGTGAGTCATGATTGGCTTATGGTGACTTTAAAGAGAAGACATAACTTGATCACAGTACTAAAACCACATTTTTTACCTAGAAGACTCCGTTCTACTAAAAGTTATTTATAAAAGCAATAAAGCACACTCTCTATGGGTTTACCGGCGTGATAACCCACTTGGGATGCTGGGAGAACACTCGAAAACCTTGTAAATCACGAGCCGAAACGGCTCGTGATTTACAAGCTTTTCTCGTGTTCTTCTAACATCCCAAGTGGGTTATCACGCCGGTAAACCCATAGAAAGTGTGGTCTATTGCTTAAATGAATTTACATGCCGCTCATTTATATATGTCTTCATTTGTGGCAGGTGATCGACTGCAAAAGTGAATGCTTCTCGTGATCATGACAAGCATATATTTTCGCATTATGCTCACTGAATGACTATTTACGTTTTAATCCATAGGGAAAATCTCCGAGAAACGATGCAGCGGAATTCAACGAAAAGCGTGTTTACCGGAACTGATGCATTGGTCGCTTGGGGTGCAATATTTGCCGTCTTGGATTTTGCAGTAATTCTTCTAAATTCGTTGGCATTATACACTTTCATGAAAAACAAGTCACTAAGGACGCGGAAACATTTCATGATTATCAATCTTGTTGTGTCTGACTTTTTGTTCGGAGTTATGGGGCTTTCACTTGCTCTTTTCTATCTCCTCGATCCCTCGGTAATTGCTTTTTATGTGTTCAACCTTCTAAACAAGTTTACCAAAACTGCTTCTCTTTTGACACTAGGCCTTATTGCTTTAGAACGAATGCACGCCATTGTCTGGCCTTTTCGTCATCGAGTTTTAAGAATCTATGTCTACAAAGCAGCCCTGGTGTTTACTTGGGCTCTGCCGGCCGCATTAACTGCCATCTTGTCCCTGAAAATTTACAACGTGAGGTTTGAAGCTGTGTTACCAGCCACGGTCTTCTTTGTAACCATCGAGATGGCTGCAAGTTACATTACCTTATGGGTATTTATCAAACGCAGACGCCCGCAACACGACACCTCTGCAAGTCAGGATAAAGCCTTGGCTTTCACACTTCTTTTGATTTCAGGTGCTTTCCTTGTCACGTGGGTAATTCCAATTCTTTTCATATCCATTCCTCGCATTTGTACGACTTGTCATCAGCCGAAAGGATCAGTCATAATGTGGCTGCACGTCGCCTTTGCATTCCAGTCTGTGATCAACCCGGTTATATATTGTTTCCGTATTCCTGGATTTCAAGACACCTTGAAGGCTAAGATAAAGCAAATGAATTTTTTTGGAAAAAGGACGCAGCAACAACCAACTGAAAACGATATGAGGGACTATAAGTAAAGAACCTTAGCTTATTAAGATTTGTTACGTTTTTTGTGTGTCAATGGGCAAATGTACCCAGGCTACGCCTCGGGGCATCGTTATACAATTCAGTACTGAGCAAGGAATGTTCGAGGACCTGTACAGCCCCCGAAATGATCCTCAAATTGACCCCTAAATGATGTCGTCCCCGAAATGATCCCCAATTTTTTTGCGTCCACCCCGAAATCAATCCCAATTAAGTTTCGGAAGGGAGTGTCATTCAGCTTCGGAATTGTTAGTCTCAGTCAATGTTGGTAATTCGCTTTTAACAATTATAAAAACGGTTTATATGATTTTTTACGGTTTTGTCATCTAATCGCTTTAACATTTACTCTTGCATCTTGGACACTCAGCTGGACACTGATCATTTAAAGTTTAACAGCATTAATTAAAACTTTTAAAACTCCATGCTGTTTTTAGTGTCGTGCCACATGGTTTCAGTTTTCCCTGGTTCGGTAAAGAAGACAAACCTTCCCTTAGGATAACAAATCTAGTAACCCAAAACATGTCAAAGGTAAATTGACCACGGATTAGACAGCCTGCCGGGTTAACAATAAGGGCTATGTACACCAGATAACTCGAACCTTCAAGGGAAATCAAAAAAGGTTCGAGTTATTGGGAGTTCGAGTTATCGGGAGCTCGAAGAAAATAGCCGGGAGTAAGGAAAAAAAAAAGTTTTTACTGCACAGTGAGCATTTCAATCACATTTAATTGTAGAAATGTTGAGTGAAAATTAAAAGATACTTTTAGGTCATAAATCAGAACGCAAAGTAACAAACCGTTGCCTAAATAGAGCGTGCATTTTACTTTTTGAGAAGTAAAGCTATTTCACGTTAGATTTGTGATAAACAACATCAGCCAACACTATCGATCCACTAGTAAACTATATGCCTACAACACGTCAATGGGAAATTCAAAATTCAATGCTTCGGAGGCAGTACACTTTTTTTCCCGACTTTTTAAGGGCTCAAAACATGGTTCGAGTTATCGAGGGTAAAATTATATAGAACTGACCTGAGGGGAAACAAAAATTACTTCAAGTTAGCGGGAGTTTCGAGTTATCGAAGGTTCGAGTTACCGAGGGTAAAATTAAGGTAAATGTATGACAGAAATCCAGGGGAAATCGATTTTGGTTCGAGTTAGCGCAAGGTTCGAGTTAGCGAGGGTTCGAGTTATCGAAAGTCAACTGTAGTTGAAAAATAGAGCTGTACAGGTCACTTAAAAATAATCCACGGACATCACTGAATCAAAGTAAAAAAGGTTAGTTACCTACTATATAAGACGTGAGAAAAAAGCCAGTCGATTTACTGCACAAAATATCTCCAAAGCGTCGCATTGACTTAGACATGAATTTTGACATGACTTCGTAATTAACTGTTAATAATTGATACTTTCTAAATCCAGTTTAAAGCGTAATCCCAATATACGTCATTAAAGAATCACGGAGAATGTAAGCGAGTTAAGATTATAAGTGAAAATTTTATTCATTTTTGTGCATTTGCTCGAGTCATTGTTCAAGGATACCATTCCATTCCTGAAATTAACTGGGGCCGATCATTTCGAAGGTTGGTATCATTTCAGGGTCAATTTGTTGATCGCATTTCGGGGTCGGGGTCATTTTGGGCGCTGTACACAAACGCATTTTGAAAAGCAGAAGCCCTACCAATTCCATCTTCAAGCCCAATTGTTTGTTTTCTTGGTTTGTTCGTCTTTTTTTTCTTAATCAAAACACACTTGTCAGTGTCGAATTCTCCGTTTCATTGAGCACAACACAGAACTCATTGACTCATTGACAACCCTTCTCTTCATTCCATATTACTTTTGGCCATCGGGGCCCTAAATAGGAGTCGTAGGAGATGAGAATAACAAAGGAGGAAAGAGCCCATTTATTAATTTTAATTCCACCCCACCTCCCCCCGCGGAAGCGTCGGGAACAGGCGATACCGGCCCTGCGTCTTTAATACAGCTTCACATTACTGGCTGCAAACGAATCGTTTCGTTAATGTACTGTTTGCCTCTTTTTTACAGTTTGACTCATCCTTCCAGCAGAGCCTTTCTTTCGCTTTCTCGATTTTGTCGTAGTCGACAAAGACTCTGCTTGAATTGAGTATGATCTTTTTTGAGCATGCGCGGCATGTTGCTAGGATATAGTTTCGAACCCAGTCCTTATAGCCGCGTGCTTGATACAGCGGGCTTGGCTATAACCTTCGGTTTATCAATCAACGGATGCTCGCACTGGAATAAACCTGTTTGACGAGAGAAAGCAAGATTATGTAGTCCAGAGGTTTGGGCTGCAGCGACCTCAAACGCTTGACGCGATTCACGCAGAACCGTCTTTTCTCCTTTTCATTCAAGAAGACAAAAAGGGGCTCTGCTCGCAGGATGAGTTTGACTGTGACTGATTGCAGTGTTATACATAAAGGAAAATATTTGATAAATAGAGAAATAAAAAATTAATCAATTGATTAATAAAAGATAAAGTAATCTGTAATAAGTAGCGTGAAATTAGCTTTCTAACTATTATAGACAATTGAATAATTGCAGGTCTTTTTCAAACTCAGGAAAGAGGTTGCTAAAAGCTGATGTCTTGACATGCTTAAAGAAATTGACCCCTGTCTCGTCCCCAGTCGTCTCTTTCTCTGTCTCTCCTACGTGGCGCGAGGGGTGTGATGTGAAGGAGGAAAGCGAGGGAGAGAGTCTTCCTCTCTTTTCCATTCCCATCACCCCCTGCTCCCGCCGCGCGCGTTACGCGAAGACGAGTGGGACGAGTCAGAATTGATCCAGTATTTGAACTGAGCAAATCCAGAATCACATACAGTGACCCATTTAATCTTATATTCCAAGAAAAAGTAGAAACTGTGCAAACTTTAATTGCCCCTTTAGCGCCGGCAAAGAAAGACAGTTTTAATAACTAAATAAAAAGCACTGTCCGTTACTGAAAGTTTTGTTCATCACGTCTTAGAATCATTAAGCCTAGAAGATAACTTTCAGCAAAATGTGCTTTCAACTTGTAATAAACCCCCTTGCATAGCGCCGAACTTAGGGATCAAACGCCATTAAAAGGTTTTATTCTGCGCTTTACTTATTAGTGCACAGTTTTTTTTGTTTTGTTTTTTTTTTTACATTAAGTTGTGCTAAATAATTCATTCAACCTGCATGTCTGAACCTAAACAAATAAGTTAATGAAATATGTCATTGTTTTTGTAAGATTTGAATTCAGTTTCTTTTAGTATCTGAAATGTTTTCCAAGGCAGTCTCTTGTCAGGATTTTCCTCACAACTTTATAAAATAATGGATTACCTCTAAAATATGTTATGGGAATGAGGAATGACCTCAAGTACAAAAATAGTCTGACAATGTAAAAAAACGTAGGGGGTAACGGGAGGCAAAATCCGCAAAAGGAATTAAAAATGAAAAGTGTATAAGGTAAGGCCCATGTGAATATATAGACAGCGCAGGACATCAACACCAATTTCCTAAATTTTCTATCTTCGTCTTGTTCATTGTCGCTTTCTTTGCCAATTACAATCGTAACTGTGGTAACGGTGCATGTAACACCAATTGCAAGTACAAAAACGGATAGAAGGCCTCCAGCTGAGAAAAAGAAAAAAGAGAAGGAAAGGTAATTCATAAGACATGTCATGTTTAAGGCGGAGACACTTGCAGCAGTGACAATGGAACCCACCACGACGAAGTATAGATTACGTCTTCGTGGATGGCCTGCGTATCGGGTTGGGGCTCTGAACGTTGCCCGCAATACCTTAATTGATAGAATGACAAGAATGAGACCGGTAGCAAAACCTGAAGCGCAATCAAAGGCCTCATAAATGAAATACATATAGCTGGGCCAGTAAAGCATGTTGTACATAAATGCCGGCATGGATACCAATCCCACTGAAAATTCTATGGAGGCCAGGAAGCTGAGGAAAATTCGCTGGCGTGGTAGAAGAGCTCTTGTCCTCATAAAGGCTCGCAGGATCAAATAGTTCAAGCTTAAGATGCCAAGACACAGGATGGCGTAAAATACCAACAATAATATAATCCCGTACATTTCCATTCCTGGGTCCAAATTAAAAGTACCTTTCTGAGGTATTTCAGTTACATTCACAACGGTGATATTCATTCTGCAAATAAAATCAACCAATTAAAAAAATGCAATGAAAAATAAATGGAAGGAAATTAAACATTGTATTTATTTAGATACATCAAGCAATTTAAAAAATATTAAATGAGAAATAAATGAAAGGAAATTAAGCATTAAATTAGATACTGAATTACATGAAAGATTTATTAAACGACTGAGTTGACAAAGCCGATTTACCACGTGACTGCAACTTGAAGAGCTAACTTTTTGAGAGTTAGCTCTTCCTCAGAGCGAATGAAGAAATCAAGGCCTGTGCTTTGTTTATCGCCGGAATGGTGGAGCTGTTAAAGCAGCCGGAGTACGCAGCGCCTACGCTGATTCAGAAAGACCGATTCTTNCCCCTGCTCCCGCCGCGCGCGTTACGCGAAGACGAGTGGGACGAGTCAGAATTGATCCAGTATTTGAACTGAGCAAATCCAGAATCACATACAGTGACCCATTTAATCTTATATTCCAAGAAAAAGTAGAAACTGTGCAAACTTTAATTGCCCCTTTAGCGCCGGCAAAGAAAGACAGTTTTAATAACTAAATAAAAAGCACTGTCCGTTACTGAAAGTTTTGTTCATCACGTCTTAGAATCATTAAGCCTAGAAGATAACTTTCAGCAAAATGTGCTTTCAACTTGTAATAAACCCCCTTGCATAGCGCCGAACTTAGGGATCAAACGCCATTAAAAGGTTTTATTCTGCGCTTTACTTATTAGTGCACAGTTTTTTTTGTTTTGTTTTTTTTTTTACATTAAGTTGTGCTAAATAATTCATTCAACCTGCATGTCTGAACCTAAACAAATAAGTTAATGAAATATGTCATTGTTTTGGTAAGATTTGAATTCAGTTTCTTTTAGTATCTGAAATGTTTTCCAAGGCAGTCTCTTGTCAGGATTTTCCTCACAACTTTATAAAATAATGGATTACCTCTAAAATATGTTATGGGAATGAGGAATGACCTCAAGTACAAAAATAGTCTGACAATGTAAAAAAACGTAGGGGGTAACGGGAGGCAAAATCCGCAAAAGGAATTAAAAATGAAAAGTGTATAAGGTAAGGCCCATGTGAATATATAGACAGCGCAGGACATCAACACCAATTTCCTAAATTTTCTATCTTCGTCTTGTTCATTGTCGCTTTCTTTGCCAATTACAATCGTAACTGTGGTAACGGTGCATGTAACACCAATTGCAAGTACAAAAACGGATAGAAGGCCTCCAGCTGAGAAAAAGAAAAAAGAGAAGGAAAGGTAATTCATAAGACATGTCATGTTTAAGGCGGAGACACTTGCAGCAGTGACAATGGAACCCACCACGACGAAGTATAGATTACGTCTTCGTGGATGGCCTGCGTATCGGGTTGGGGCTCTGAACGTTGCCCGCAATACCTTAATTGATAGAATGACAAGAATGAGACCGGTAGCAAAACCTGAAGCGCAATCAAAGGCCTCATAAATGAAATACATATAGCTGGGCCAGTAAAGCATGTTGTACATAAATGCCGGCATGGATACCAATCCCACTGAAAATTCTATGGAGGCCAGGAAGCTGAGGAAAATTCGCTGGCGTGGTAGAAGAGCTCTTGTCCTCATAAAGGCTCGCAGGATCAAATAGTTCAAGCTTAAGATGCCAAGACACAGGATGGTGTAAAATACCACCAATAATATAATCCCGTACATTTCCATTCCTGGGTCCAAATTAAAAGTACCTTTCTGAGGTATTTCAGTTACATTCACAACGGTGATATTCATTCTGCAAATAAAATCAACCAATTAAAAAAATGCAATGAAAAATAAATGGAAGGAAATTAAACATTGTATTTATTTAGATACATCAAGCAATTTAAAAAATATTAAATGAGAAATAAATGAAAGGAAATTAAGCATTAAATTAGATACTGAATTACATGAAAGATTTATTAAACGACTGAGTTGACAAAGCCGATTTACCACGTGACTGCAACTTGAAGAGCTAACTTTTTGAGAGTTAGCTCTTCCTCAGAGCGAATGAAGAAATCAAGGCCTGTGCTTTGTTTATCGCCGGAATGGTGGAGCTGTTAAAGCAGCCGGAGTACGCAGCGCCTACGCTGATTCAGAAAGACCGATTCTTCGTCGGGTATGTTTAATAAATAAATCCGGTTAAGTGAAAATTTGATAAATTTAGCAAAAGCAAATTCACAAGTTATCAGCTCAGCATTAAATAATCAGCGTTTCATTGAAAGATTTCGACGAAACAATTTCAATGCGCCAGCATAATAAAGAATTTGTAATAACAGTAGCAAATATTGTTTTTGGCAGATTGAAGAATTTTGAGGAAAACGTATTTTTAAAATACGTCACTGCAACAGCAGCACTATTAGTAGCTAGAAACATAATAAGATAAAAAACAGGAATGAAAAAGCTGAACGAAAAGCGTTCTTTATAGTACTTCTTGGGGAATTAGAAAGATAAATTTGGCAGATAAATACTTGCTCTAGATTTTTGCGGCTTTCTTCGATGCACTTTGGGCAACAATTTTGGATCCATTTGCACGGCTCTTCCAATTTGCTGGGGCCACGCACGATCATCAAACATGGTCTCCAAAGTCTTATGGGTTGAATCCTTCCTAAGATGCACTGCGGGTGCCAACATCGTTGGAAGCTATGTTGTTGCATCTGCTTGCACACCACTGCCAACACGGACGCAACAACTCCCAAAATCAGTGGCCCAACAATGTTGAGAGTTGATGCATCCGTTTGCACGTAGCTTTATTATACTGGTTATGATTATGATCGATTAGAAGGACGCTGGTGAAAGTGCGTGAAGCGAGCGTAATTTTAATGCCAGAAGTTACATATACTCGCAGGTCGCTAATTATTGTTTGTAAGCAAAGGGAAGCAAAGGCGCTATTGAGCCACACACGTCACCTGGAAGTGAGCCCTTTTCCCTTTTGATATGCCATGACGCTTCTAAATTAGTATTGGTAAATGTCTTAAGCAAAACAACTGCCCAAGAATGCAAAAAGTCCACTTCTGGTTGACGTGCGTCGTTCAAAAACGTCTTTGTTTAAGACTTGGGCTACGTCCAAACGGGCGCAACAACTCTCAACAATGTTGGGAGTTGTAAGCCAACAATGTTGCGTCCGTTTGCACGGGGCTAAAAGTTTAGCTTTTACCGGTTTCAAACTTTGCGCAA